TCGTGACAAATAGGCTACCGGGTGGATTTCCCCATCGCTACCTTTCTGTGACAATACAGCGCCCAGAGCAAAATCAGAACAGTCACATTCAAGAATGAATGGCTGGTATGGATCAGCAATTTTGAGTACCGGCGCCGATGTAAAGGCTTGTTTCAGGTCGTCAAATGCCTTCTGCCGCTCTTCGTTCCAAGTGAAATTGACATCCTTTCGCGTTAAATCATGAAGAGGTCTTGCCATTTTTGAAAACTGTCCGATAAACCGTCGATAAAAGTTTGAGAATCCAATAAAACGTAATACGTCAGACGTGTTCTTTGGTGTTGGCCAATCCGTCACAGCTTGTACTTTAGCTGGGTCCATTCTGATCTTGTTTTTCGATATAATAAGTCCCAAGTATTCGACTTCAGGTCGTGAAAACTCACACTTCTCCGGCTTCAACCATAGTGAGTGCTTGCTAAGGATTTCGAGTACACTTTCTACCGCTTGCTCGTGGTCAACTCCTTCCTTGGTGTGAATCATGATGTCGTCAATGAAAGCTTCCACATCTTTTCCTATTCTACCCAGTAAGATATCCTGAATGAAATATTGGAAACATCCTGGCGCGCCTGTTGGTCCAAAGGGCATAGTTAATGGAGCGAATTGACCAGCTCGGCATATGAACGCTAATATGTCCTCGTCCTCCTCCGCCACTCGTATGTTACCATAGGCGTTCCTTAGATCTAATTTAGTGTACCTTTCAGAATTAAGTAAACTATCAATAAGGTCCATAGTAAGGGGTAGAGGATATTTATTCTTGACGGTGAGAGCGTTAAGTCTTCTATAATCAAAACATGGCCGAAGTTTACCATCCTTTTTGCCTGTGAATAATACAGGAGCCGCCCACGGAGATTTAGTGCGGCGGATGGTTCCGTTTGCCAGTCCTTCCTCCACCATAGCGTCGAGTACCTCGTTCTCAGCTGGAGATAGTGGTATTATCTTACTTGCCTGTGGAGTAGCTCCGGGTATAAGGTTGACTCGGAAATCGTATTTCCTTCTTGGTGGAAGTCCCTGAGCTTTGGATTTGGTGAACATGTTGATATACTTGTGGTATCTAGTTGGCACGAGTTCCTTGACCGGTGTTTTGCTAACGTCCTTGTGTCCTTCAGCTGCTATCCTCGCTGCTGTTGACCAAGCAGCCTTTGCCGTACATAATTCGGGTAGGATTGCCGTTGGTGAAAATCTGTTCTGAAAAAGATCACACTTGCCAGCTGTCTCGGGGTGAGTAGGATTTAATACATTAACAAACTCACATTGCGGGGGTATTAGTGTATTATTGCTGACATCAGCGCCAATACATACCCCCTCGCTACTATTCCTAGCGTCCCTCTGGTCCTCCTTGGGTGTTGAGGGTGTTGTCGGTAGCAGCGAAACCGTCTCTACGGTTGCAATATCAGTGGGTGAACTTGAGGTGAAGGTTCCATTTGTCCAATCGATCTGATTACCATGCTTCTGAAACCACGGCATGCCTAACAGAGCGTCGTACGAGTTCTTCAGTTGTGTTACAATGAATCGGGTCGGTGTCGTGTCGTCGTTGATGATGAGATGAGCTTCTTCAGTGAGTTGTTTGGTTTGACCGTCGAAAGCACTAACAGTGCAAGGAGTGTTCATCTTGCTTGTGTGAATTCCGTGCTTTCTGACAAAGGCTTCACTAATTGCCTCGTGCGTAGCTCCACAGTCAAGGAGGCAAAGCGCGATTGGTGAGTCTGATGTGGCAAGGGAGGGTAGGATTTGGGACTGGGACAATGGTAACCTTATAAAAAGGCGCGGATCGCGTGCATTGCGTTTCAAATAATTGACAGCTCCAAATCCAATAATCTCCTCCTCATTACTCGGGATAGGCACATCTATCAATCCCGAGTCCCTCCATTTTTTGATTCATCAGCTCTCCCCTTTCCTTTCAATTCCGCTAATTGAGCTTCTAATTCTGCAATTCTTGCATTTCCTCCTCCACTTCTAACCCAATTACCCCTCTCATCTTTCCTTCCACAATCAGCTGCCCTATGTCTACCTCTGCCACATTTAAAACACAATCCCCGTTCACTACGTCTTGCCATCTCCTCCTTTGAGACTGAGAATCTAGCGCTAGATAAATCCATTGCGTCAGGGTCTCGAGCCGGGGTTGGTGTGATTGAAGTGCTGCGATTAACTGTGCGATTTGCACCCGGATGAAGCTCGTTATCGATTGCCAGCGCATAAGCCGTTATCTCAGGCAATGATGTAAAAGTTTTTAATATCATATTGACTCGAACTTCTTGCTTTAAACCTAACTTGTAGTGACTAACGTGTTCCATCTCACCCCAACCAGTCCTAGCTGCCAAAGACATGAATTTTGTTGTATATTCTGCCACAGATCCTGTTTGTTGCAGTGCTCGAAGATCGCGTTGTGCTCTGCTTTGACGGTCTGAGTCGAAATACGTGGCCTCAAACGTAGCTGCGAATTCTTCCCAACTAAGTGGTGCATCGTTGTCGGGACGTAACAGTCGTTTGTAGAACGGAGCCGCCCATTGGTTCGCTTCTCCTGTCAAGTACGATAATGTAAAGATGACTTTTGTTTTGTCGTCCGGGAAGGCGTGCGAGTTCGCTAGTAAGTACAGGCCAACCTGATTGACAAAAGCTTCGGCGAGATCGCCCTTGGTTCCGTCAAATTTGTCTGGCGTTCCCACTTTCGGACCTCGGGTTGAACCAATAAGCGATTTAAAGTCCGCGGCCGTGAGAGGTTCCTTAGCGTCGCTAGCCATGAGGTTGTCGATGTGAGATGGTGGTTGCTGGGTGGTAGGAGTGGTTTGCGATGACGTCTGGGGGATATTTTTCAATTGCTGTTGTACGGCGGCTAATTCTTCTTGAGTGGCCTTACGCTGAGCAGTTTCTTCTTCCAGCTTAGAGTTTAAGTTTGTAAGCTGCTGGAGTATATTGGCTATATTGGATGCTAGATCGTCCATAGCTTCGGATTCTTCTAAAGTTAATTCTTGCGCTGATACAGTTTCAAATTCAGTTGAGTTATCCGATTCTTGTCCTTCTGCAGGAGCTATAAAGTTCGCCGTTTTTGCGGTGATATAATATATTTCTGGTCTTCTTGCTATTTCTTCAGATAAAGTTTCAATCAATCAATTTAAGCTTTCAGTTCTAATTTTAAGTTTCTAGTTCGATCCCGTATTCCGATTCGAGATTTGGTTTAGTCGTCCGCTGCAGGTAGTGAGACACTGCAATATGTTATGATCCAGAACACAGCGGGGACACGGAATGGGATGACAAGGTGCTGTCCTAATGCTAACGAGATTGCAGTGTGAGGTCAACAGTAATACAACGAGAGGGATGAAAAGCCCCTTCCTCCCCTATAAGCATAGTTCTCAATATAAGGATCATTACATTGGCTCTCATGGTGCATTTATCCTGAACAAGATCCTCACCGGTCATATCCTGTTTGGCATCAATCAATTTTAGCCTCCATTGGGTTCAGGTATGGTACTCTGCACAGCACGCGTGGACACCTGTGTTTGGATTGGCAGCTTGCAGTTGAGTTTTCACTTTTTGGTCTGTTATGCCCATCTTGGCTGACAGATTCAATTGCTTATAAGGGTCTCTCTCCTCGGATTACGGCAGTTAGATTCCCCTGATAACAGTCAAATCCTCTCACTTGGATTTATTTTCAAACTCTTACAATGAATCAACATCAAGCCAATAACTTTCTTGCACATCACAGTGGTAGCTTTAATCCAACTGGAGGTCGGGTGAGTCAATCAGTTGATCAGCCAAACTTGGTCCATAAGCACTGATATATAGATTTGTTTTTGATTGTAGTTGGAAAACTCATCATCATCCTTCACTCCTGGTTTGCGTCATCCAGAAAACAATAGTACGTGTAGTAGTTTATGTTTTATCCTTTTTATGATCTAATCTTTTCATGGCTTGTAGTTGTTCGGATTGGGTCAGAAACCTATTACACTGTGGGAAACATTCAACAAAATGGTTATGATATGACTAACAATGTTCAGCAATCCCGATGGCCACCTCAGCAGTCCTTTCCAGCAACCGGTCTTCCACGTCTCCCACCAACTCAGACATGCGAGGTCAGATCAACCGGTCCAATGTCTGGATCAATTCTTGGTTCTGCGGTGAACTCAGGTTCTAACCTTATTCCAAATTCGTGAGAAGTCTCTCCTTGTTTCTTTGATGACATACAGTTGGGTCTGATCTTTTTTGTTCACTCAAATAGGTCGGCTCAAATCTGGTATGTAGTTTTCTTCTTTATCTGGAGATTTGATCCTGAGTTGTATGATCTGTATTATTAGGGATATTGGTACACCTGGCCTATCTTCCCTTTCCAATGGAGCCGTCTCTTCAACCAACAAGAAACAACCCTGAGCCAGCAACGCAGGTGTTGCGTGCTGCGCTGCGGTTGCGTTGCGGTTTTTCTGACCGCACCGCACCGTAGAATAAATTTTTAGGTTGCGGCCTGACCCGCAGTGCAACAAGATCACTCAGATTGGTGTTTTTTTTGGGCCGCAACAACGTTTGTTGCGTTGCTGCCCTCAAAAACTTACAAATTGCCGTTTTTTTGGGGCTGTTGCGCCTGTTGCGTTGTGCAACTGTCGAGGCGCCGCGCAGCCTAGCCTTGACTTTTGTTGTTGCGGTACTTAACACAGCGTCTGCTGCTTGTTGGTGTTGCGTGTTGCGGAGCAACGCATCAAAAAACGGGTGTGCTGCGGCGCGTTGCGTTGCTGGCACAGGGTTGCAAGAAAGTAATCACTCGTGTCGATCAATGCCCAGACTTTTGGAACCTCCCGGTTAGTCACTTGTATGAATGGCAAAGGATGGTAGATATTCAGGATCATAGTGTCCAGGATTACTTCAATCAAGCGTTGAAAAAAGCAGAAGACGACTTGGATGAGCCGGACTTTGATGGTAGTGACTCAGCGAAATTCAAATTCAACGGCACCTGTCCCAGCCAACTCAATCTCTTGTTCATGCGATGCCTTGCAGAACTCAGTCCTTTTGGTACACCGGGTAAAAAGTTGAAAGTATTCAAACAGTGTGCAACGTTGTTGAAGGTCTGTAAATAATTTTCTACTTTTTTCACTGCTTTTACTAACTGATACACTTCTCTCCAGACCGAACCTGGAACTCAAAGATATTTTCGAGAACTTTCAGATAGTACCCACAGCAAAGTCCTTACAACACGATACTGCCAATTGAAGACTTGGCTTAAAGCCGCTGAAGGGTGGAGTAAGATGGACAGTGGGACCGTCGAAGATGACAAGGAGCTGCGTGAATTGATCCACACAGTCGAGCATGAGGAAGAGGTATGTGATTTTTCCTTTCCCCAAATCCAGATCACTCAATCTGGCTTCTTTCTTCCCTGTAATCTTTTGCTGATACCCTGAACACTCCTTTAACCCAGAACGGCCTAGCTCTCAAACTAGCTTCCAAGGAGGAACGTGAGACACTCAAGAACCAATCTATGCTGGCAGAGGATTACCGTGATCGGGCTGCAAGAGGGGAAGTACGTAAGCGCTCAGAAACCCCCTCAGAAACCGACGACAATGGCAGATTGATTAGCAGGAAACCCAAGAAGGCCCGCAACTCAGCTGCATCCCATGCAAACGCGGTCATGGAGGAGCTGAGTGCTTTTAGTGGCGAGATGAGTAAGATGAATGAAGCCGCTTTGACCGCTCAAGCAGAGCAAAACAACAAAATAAACCTCCTTTACGAACGTGAGCTCACCATAGCTGCCGCGGCGGCTAGATCTCTAGAAGCACATTGCAAGGCAGAACTGGCCCTTGAACAAAAAAAATTCGAGTTGGCATCTGAGCAATCAAAAACCACAAACCTCACCTTAGAAGCTCTTGACGCTAAAGTAGACTCAAAAATGACCTCAATCAATGACGCCTTGGCAGCAATCATGACTCAACTTTCCTCGTGTGTGCAATGATGTTCTCTTTTTTTGTAATTTCTCTCATTCCTGCCTGGTCTATTTTTAACTATCTTCGGTCAATCTTTAAAAGACATACTCACATACAAAACAATTGCCTGATCTTACAATCATCCCTATCTTTGATCCTCAGGCTCGAGTTTGATTTACAATCTTTGATCCTTTATTAGAAATGAAAACTTTTCTTTTTTACCATTTCACAAATTTAAAGATCTTCGCAAATCTTGAGGATTCATTGCTTGATGAGAATAACAGTCTTCCCATTCTCACAAGTCTTTGGAACGATCGATCATTTTTAAAACAAAAACCTTGAAAAATTCATCTTCAAACAATTCCAAATTGAAGACTGTGGAGGTGTTTGACTCTTTGTAACAAAAACCTTGAGAAGTTCAAATCGTTTGAGATATTGAAACAGTTGCAAATCAAAGACTGGAGGTGTTTGACGCTTTGGAATGAATGAAGCTTATCAGCGTTTTGTAGAGACTCTAGAGTAAGAGAAACATCGATCTAATGATTGATCCATTAGATCAATGATGCTTGAAAGCTTCGGATACGAGTGAAGATTAGTGAAATCTTCCATCCTTTTAACTCAATGTAAATTACGATTTTTTGATCGTTTATGAACCAACAACACTTTCTAGAGCCTTTGATTTCATCAAGTGTATGACCGTGGAATCAGACTGAGTCTCCTATCACAAAGCTTCCAATCAACAACTTGAGTCTAAGCAGGCATAATCACATCTCTCAGCCAAAAATCTAGTTACAAATGTGCTCGGTCAAGATATTGTGCTAAAGAGGGGGGAGGAAGGGGGGAATTTCCTGGGCCTCGACCGAGACATATCAAACAATTCTTCACAAATACAGCTACATGGTAAGTTTCATTGAGTTCGTTCTTATAGAACATGAGGTTGTCTATAATCAATAAGATCAAAAAGTCAGAGATCGGTGAGAAGGCAGAAAAGGCAGAAAAGGCTAGCTTACCCTCATACTGTGTCAGTCTAAATACATTTCGCACTCGACCGAACTCGTGCTCAACGCCTATTCGGCAGCGACTCATAATTTTGTTGAATTCAACATGTTCTTCTGGCATTCGGTCTTTGTTTCCAGGGTATGGTGTCATAATTACATCGTTGGCTGAGTATCCTTTATCACCATAGAGGATCATTTGGCGACCACCATTACCTTTGGCATGCATTCTGAGTGTCGCTTCAAGCTGTGAATCTTTGAGCATTGCCTGGTCATGACGCGAGCCTACATAAGCCTCACTGAGGTCCACAGTGATCCCACTGAAACAACAGAAGACAATCAAAATATCAGGTCTATGTACTGCAAATGAAAGCAAATAAAGAACTTACTTGGGGGTAGTCACTGCCTGAAATTTCAAAGCATGACAGTGCTTATGTCCATTGTAAAATAGTCTCTGATTGTGTTGTGGCCGTGAGATCTTCCAGACAGTCCCTACAATATAAATAAAGTCATAAGTGTGTAAGTTCCAATCTTTTTGAATAGATGTATTTGAACTCGCCATCGATATAGCCCACACAGTTGTTCAACTGACACCCTCGTGAGTCCATTAAAGAAGCCGCGTGTTCCTCGAGACGAAGAGCAGTCAATCGCTGGGGGCTCCATTTGAGTAGATGACACCAATGTAATTTGATCCAACGTTGAGTAAACCTAACAATACGGCCGATGATGCTCCGATCGCGCCCAAAAACCCCAGCTAAGTCAAAATGTTGACTTGGTACAGCCAGACGTGCCAGGAGGATGGCAAGTGCAGTGAGGCCGACTTCTACACATCCATTGTCCAGTCGAATTCTATCGGGGAACCCTAGAAGCTGGTGCATTTCAACAATCTCGGTTGGCCAGAATCTAGTCGTCAGGTAACAGACACGCGGCGACCAATTGTGAACATCAATTGGGATACAACCATCATAGGAGATGCGTTGTTGCAAGGCATCCTTCTCGAGTTGATGGGTCAGAAATGCCTGAGCCATAACCAACATTGAAAGCCATTTGGAAAGCCTTGGGAGAGGGTTGGCGGGGTTTCCAGTGGTTCGAAAAATGCCTTTACGGGATAAACGCTGGAAGGTCCTGAGATTTTTTAAAACAAAACTTCAGTTCACACAATTCATTTGCTTGTGATAGGTTTTGAATACATACATATGTGATCTTCAAATACAATGAAGTGGAACCACTTCGATAACACTGCTAGACACCTAGATCAACAACAGGAACACTTGAAATGTCAGTTTGTATTATGATCAATCATAGCGTATTACTTACTGTATATGAAGGGTGTTGGAGTTATGCGGTGAGAGTGAATTGGGGTGATCTGGGGGGTTTTGATTGTTGAAGGTGATGAACGGTGGTCTGAGGTGTTGGATTCCTGGTTCCAACAATTCCCGACACACCATAAATCATTATTTTGGCCCCGGGTAGCTCAGCAAAGAGAATCTGTGACATCTTGTTGATATGATTCAGCGGAATTCAGCTGGATTCCTACAAGTTCTGTGGCACCAGAACCGCTGGCTACAACTCAGTCGAACTTTCGCCCAATCCCTATTAGGTTGTTGGAGGTAGCGAAGATAAAAGCGAGGATGAGGATGAGAGATTGGAGAAATTACGCAGGAAAGTGTTACTAAGAGGGTGACAAATACTTGGACAGATGGTTGGACAGATGCGCACGACCTGCGCACGTCGACTCTGCTTTTGGACGTGTGAAACTTGTCTTATACAAATTGGACTAATTCGGAAGGTGTCGCTCGCGCAAGTCGAGCGGCTCGTGGATTGCACAACCCTTCGAATATTCTGGTCTCTGCTGTCGTCGACCTATCCCTCTAGGTTAATCGAACGTCAACCAAGATCAAATTAATGGAGTTTTCCCACAACTACGCCAGGTGGCAATGCTCTTACACTGCGAAAACCGTGAATTAGGCACAGCTTTATGGCAGAACTTTACAAACTACATAGCCGAGCGCCTGGTGTCCGTAAGGTAAGACTTCAAATTAATGATGTTTTCCCACAAGCACCTTCCATTGGATGATTGGTGGCGATGCTATACTTACATGGCGAAAACCGTGGATCAAGCACAGCTTGAGAGCGACCTGCAGAGAGATGACTGACGTGGACTCCATTTATCTCAGATCATTTCAAGTCATTTCCAGATCAGGTGATTTCTGATGTAAAAAGAAATCACACCGCGAATGGACGACGTTGGTTTACATACTTAATTCCAATCCAAAGCTCGTCAAGGGTGTCGTCAAGCGATCAAATTTGATCATTCTAATTCATGTCAATCAGTTATTTATTTGATTTATTTATGTATGTCAATATTTATGTCAATACATATGATATATGGCGAAAGCGTACAGAAGCGTACCACCAGTTATTTTTGGCAAACTCGCATTGCACGCGGCGACCAGAGGCAGGCTGAGGCAGGTTCAACGTGGGACTGACATATAAGAGAGGTCGTTTTGCCCCGTTTGTCCTTCCTCATCCCATCAGCACTTTCCGCTTCATCAGTTCCCTTGTTCTCCAAGTTTGTTCTTTACCCTCTCCTTGACAGTCACTTGCTTGAAGCCCTCTTCCCTTGCATCACATTTGCTTACAATATTGTGCTCATTTTGTCCCAGTAGTCGCTCTGAATAGTTCCAAGTCATACGGTCTCTCCTCCCAGTTGCCTGTTTCAGCTTTCATATCTTCGTGCGTTGATCATAGTTTTTTTCAATACTTGTGGCGTTGAAGAGCTTGAGTCTTACTGAAATTCCTTGCCGTTTTCTAGGCCACTACACACATACCTTTTCGAGGTCAACACCTAACAACAGATCACACCAAAGCAACAAGATGGTCAGTCTTCTCTCCTCTACATAGCCGTTTACACATACTTACATGTCTACATGTCCATTCCAACAGCATATCTTGACCATCACCTTAACCTTGGCATTGATTTTCGCTTGCGTTGGATATAACAATGCCGTAGTAGATTACAATGATTACATCACCCCCCTTTGTTGCACGGGCAACAATGAGAGCATGCAGTGTTGAGCAACCACGTCACCGCGCGCTTGGTGGTCCCAGGGCAACGACTGCACGGGACCCATTATCAGCGATGTGGCGTGCAAGGACGGACGTCTCGCCGGCTACAGTACTAACTCAGACGGTTCCGCTTCATGGGTCACCCGAAATGTACTGGCTCAGCGTTTTGGACAAACCGTCACCTGTTATCTGGCAGACAACCAATGCTACAATGGCCAGCTCAGGTGCCGAGTGCCAGACTACTGTGGAGGCAGTAGCGGACTGCTTGCCGACTCCAAGGCTGCTACCAAGGGCGGCCAAGGTGGCCAAGTTGGTACGTTATCTGGAGACAACGAGAAAGCACAGAAAGCGACAGTACGCCCCACAAAGACCGTCCAGTAGCTTCACACCTTCGTCCCTTATTTCTTTATTATCTTGTTGTCTTCCTCGTTCACCTTCTCTGCTCTTTCACGACAATTGGATTCCTGGTTCCGCTTCCCATGTTGTTCTGATGTTAGCATCGCATGTCAAAGTTTGTCTTCCACTTAAGAGTTTCTTCCTCGATACTTGTTGAGTTCTCTCAGGATACCATCGATTTACAACTTTGTTCCTTATTCTCGTCACGCTTGGTTGTTTTTCTGTTTCATTGCCGTTCTCATTGGTCCCGATTATACATACCATGATTTGTTTATGGACTGCCTCAATTAAGTTCGCTCGTCTTCGTTCCACGGTCCTATTACATGTCTTCTAACTCCTCACTGCTCTACAATAAGTGAGGAAAACCATACTTGCCAGCTTTCTTTAAAAGGACAGCAAGAAAAGTGCCAATGTACGTTGGATGAATCGCCCGTCTGCTTTTCGATTCCTCCAAGCTCCCTTGACCTATGTAAGTAAGGCGAGTCAGTGCAAGATGATCAAGGGACTCAAATTGACAGGTCTTTTCATCTTCATGTCTATCAGGATTGTAAATGAGGATATCGATCGCC